ATGCAGATGTTTTAGCAGCAATAAATCCATTAAATATCTCCATAATGACTCTGGACGGGCACACTAAAAGTTTAATGCGCATAATGGGCGTCTGCGGTTGTGTGCCATTTATGGACAATCCATCGTTTAATGGAGGGGTGCCCCCCTTTATTGCACCAGTGCCCTTTTGGATCGGAATTTAATAGATGTTTGGCTTTTGGCATTTTCAAATGGTGCGGAATGAACTTGCTTGAATGGCAGGATCATCATCATCCTGGTGCGTTTCTAAATGCAACCGCCTCCTACTGCTCGACGCGCGATTTTACGGAGTATTATATGGCCAATAGCCGAAGCACACCCAGTAGATTTTGCATACTGACTTTTATTAATTTGCCATTAGCTGGTAACGGTATGTTGACTATGTCGGATCGGCTACGGTATGTGGAAGCCATCGATACGCTCAGGAGGGTTCGGACTTTGTGCAAATGCGCTTCCGAGAGCGTTCCCAACTCCACTGCAAATCGATAGACCAAATGTTTAATAGCCAAACTGCAGGAATTTGGCACAAATCTTAATTGGGCACTAACGGATTCGCCATAAACGCAACTGAAAGAATATGCCTCAATATCCTGAGAACTGATACACCATAAACAATAATCGTTAACCAGCTAACTGGGCAAGGATTTATATTTATTTATTGGTATTCCAGCCTATCGTCCACGGCTGTACCACAGTAATAAATTACGTTTCCTGATAAAGACCGAAGTTCCAGCCTCGAGTGCGATTCATCATGGTCGGTATGGGTCGCTTTTAAATACATATCTAATAGAGCTGATTTGCTTTTAATATTCTATAGTACTTGACACCCATCAACGTTGCTCATGCACGCTCCTTGCTGATAAATACATTGATTAATTCGCGCAGTAATTGATTTATTTGTTTTCTGCAAATTATATGTGCACTTTGCATTAAATTGCAACATTTTGTAAAATACTTTCAAATATTAACAAAGTAAAAAATAGGTATATCAAATGAGATCAAATCACGTTAACATATGACTTTTGAACATATATTCAGGTATGAAATCAAACAAGACACGGACACTGCATTGCATATTTTACCTATGAATTTTATATTCTCAATATTAAATTTTCTTTGATACTTTTTGCATTGTGTTTTGTTAGTTGTCCTGGGCAGAGTCCGGATTAAAAAGCACTAAAATTGTCGAAAAAAGCTCCAGCTAGAAAGCAAATTGATTTCTCGCAAAAGTAAAAATGTGAGGCAAAAAAAAGTTTTTCAAAAAATCTGGAAAGTGCTTTTGAAAAAAACGTTTCCTGGCATTTCCATCAATCTATTTAATAATAAAAAGGTAACGTCATATACAGATTGAGTCAGTAGTATAACCTGATTCAAACAGGACTTAAATAAAGTGTGTTATATATTGTTGTCACCGAAAAAAGCTAAGTGATACTTATCAAATGCCCCTTTTTGAAAATTGAAAAAATTCAGACACCAGACTCATTTGCAAACAGGCACAAATGCACAAGAAACAATAAATGCAAATAGAAACAAAATCAAATAACACCAAAGAGGCCGGTAATATTGGGCACCACCATGCATAGTTCCAAATTCACTTCAATTTACTTCAATACCCTCAGGTGACTTCTTACATAAGTATGGTAGAACACGCAATTATTGCAATAAACAGCCGTAGTTGCCTGGAACGACACAAGTAAATTTAAAAAGCAATAACGATCATCATAATGATGATTAACCGAAAGAAACTCCTATTTGCTCGTCTATACACGTGTCGTGTTAGTTCCATGGGTTAATGGGCACTAGAAGCCAAATGGACCATATGTTTAAGGTGTAAACTGTCTGGTCACAATTACCAATAAAACATAAGCGAGAGGAATGCGAACGGCAGCAATAATGGAAGAAAAGTGTCGCATGGGCATGGTAACGCAAAATGGGTGCCATCCTCTGGCGAGTTCAAAAAACCGAAGAATGCACTTTAGCCAGATGGTCATGAGTAGTACACGCACAAGACCAGTTTTAGTGTTTATTTACTAATTGGTGATAGTGTGTAATAACAATGATCGAGGTGGTCCTAAAATTGCTCGTTGTGTGCGCGTAACTGTATAGAATGTTTGGACAAGCAAATTTATTTGTCTCCTTTCCTTCGAACAACTCAATAAGCCAGACTCAGGCTTTGCATTGTTTCCTATACCGATAATAACTGCCTTTCTTGCGGAACAATTAGCAGCAATCATAATACCGATCTCATAATGAACAAGTACATATGATTTAAGGCAAGAAAATCAAGTTTTTCCTCGCCAATTAATACGGTAGTTGGTAATTATTACATCTGAATGAATTAAATAAACATTATTGCACTCCAATTCATTAAAATTCCGAAGAGAACAACAATTAAAATCGTTCATTAGATGATAGCAATTTGTAATTATTGCCCAGCTCTGCCACGGATTATTCTGGGAATCTTCAACTAAACGTGTTAATGGCATTAATAATAAGCTTTTATTTCTCTTGAATTTTACAGTATGACAATAATTTAAATTAGTTTTGCTATGCGAATAATATTTGAATTAGATGGAATTTGCGATGGGTTGGCCTGCACGCTCACAGGATATGAGTGCTATTGAACTTGATCCAATATAGAGCAACAACATTGTGAACCAGAAAAACCGCACCAAGGAAAGGATTACATAATTTTTTTCTATATCAAAGGATTCATAATTCTAATTTTCCTGCTTTTCAGTGGTTTCAATAAGTTTTTGTCGGCATCTATTTCACTTACGCTGCGCTTTTGTTTGATTATTTGCCCTGATTCAACCGGAATTTTAGTTGAATTAATCTACGCCCTGTAATTAGAAGTCTAATCTACTACATATGTAAACAAATAACTCTGTTAATGTTAATACTGTGCCGATGTCGGAAATTTTGCATTTTGTGACTGCTTTTTTCAAATGAAGCCTCTTAATTAAACGCGTTAAATTAGCGACTACGAAAAATGAGAAACATAAAAAGGTCGCAGTTTTGCTGCTCACACATGTTTCTGCTTGTTTTTATTGCCTATTTCTTTCACTTATTCTATGTGTTTTTTGCTTCTTCGTCCTGCTTCAACTGAGACTATGGCAATTGTATTATTTTTGCAATTACTTATGAATCTCCGTGTGAGAATTGGACCTTAGTTGTTTTAGTAAGCGATCAGATTATTATTAATAAAACGCAACATTGAGAGAAAAAGAAAAAATTGATCCATTATACAAATCCTGAAAATTCTTACTTATTTTATCAGCATTTTCATTCACTTTTCTATGTACTTTTTTGCTTCTTTGTCCATCTTCAACTGAGATAATGTCAATTTTATTGCTTTTTTCGCACATTAGTTTTGATCTTTATTTTAGAGCTGGGTTGGTAGATGATTGTATTTTGCGAAGTGACCTTATGAAACGCCAACTTCGGAGTAAAATGAAAAGGAGGAACACTATAAACTAACTATGTTTTATTTTGAAAAATATCACAACACTTTATGCGAAAGACTTTTTGAAAAGGCGCGATTTTATTGTCAACACTTGCAGCTTTTCCTCATTCTATAACATGTTTTGCTTGTTATGATCCGTATCTTATGACTTATTCTATATATTTTTTTGTCCTGTTTCAACTGGGATTATGCCAATTTTTATTAGTTTCGGTTTAGGTCTTGATTAGTTGCTTTTATTAAACGAAGTCACTTAGTAAAACACGATAAGTAAAAGAAAGTGCTTCTATTTTGTTATCAACAGTTGTCGAAATTCGTTATTCTGGAGTTTTTTGAATTAATCCGCATTATTGATCAGTTTTGGTCTGTTCTTGTATACTGTTTGAACCGAAATTAAGCCAAACTTTGAATCAACCGCATGCGTCAATAATCAGTTCTGAATACACTGTTCCAAACACCGATTAAATAAATGTTTATAAATTTTTTATAATATATGTAGTTTAATAAATAAATTTATTCCTTGTTGCAAACCCATTTTAGCTTGATTTTACTATTTGAATCAAAGTTTTTTTCCTCATTTCGTCAGTTTTTCGTCTTTTGCAGCTTCAACCTGATAATTTTAAGTTTATTTCTTGCAACATTCAAATAATTTCATTAGCTGTTGCTAAAACTACTTTTGACTTTCTTTATTATTTTTCAGAAACACTGAAGTAAACTTTATAATAAAAGAACATAATAAAAAGTGGTTATTTGCCAACATACAACGGAATTCCGTGTTAAAAATGTGCAATAAATCAATGGATATAACATGAAGTAAAAAAGCTATTAAGCTTCTAGCGGTGAGGAGAATAAACTGTCCATAACCGAAGCTATGCCAAACTAATTAAGATGTTTTATCTGCTGACAATTAAGTCATTGCTCCTTGGACAAATTAAGAGAATTAGTACATTAACAGCACATAAAGCGAAGCGCGAAGAACTTTTTGTTAGGTAACGTGGTGGTCGCTATCATAGTCGCCAACATAACTCAAAGTTAGTTTTTTCACGGTATCGTAAATTGTTCCCACGGACAGTTACATTCCGAAAACGCCAAGTACAAAGTGTAAATTAAGCTCGGGGTTCATTACCTTCTAAGATAGTTGAAAGAGGCGAATTTGGTTCGGACAAACTCTTTCTGTTATCACATTAAAAGCCTGCAGATTTGTTCGCTGCTTCAAGTCCCCAACAGCAGGCACTAAAAGCCGGCAAGCAATTGTTTGCCGAGAGATTCAAGAATGGCTTGTGCAGAAAGATAAATATTTTACAACTGGGGAATTCGACGCTCAAATCGGTAATGGCTTTTTGCTATTGCCGATCTGCCAGCGTTTTAAAATACCGATGGAACTTCTATTTGCCTATTTCCTTATGGGATGTTCACTCCAAAATATGCGCCTATTTTGCCGATTATTCATTGTTCATGCTTGAAACGTCGATTGCAAGCTTTTGATAGGTTTTCTAACGTTTTGCTTTGTTTTTTTCAGCACCGGCACTGCCAGATTCTGGTGCAGAGCAGAGTACAGAAATTGAATACTATCCAGGTAAGAACTTCAGAAATCACTGGTTTCTATAGATTAATTGTTAATAAAATGGATCATAATGAAAGGTTCTGATTCTCAACTCCCAGAGTTTAATAAATCAACTTTAAATACTTTAAATTAGCTGAAAAATGTCTATAAATATAGACCCTCAAACGCTTTGTTGCAGACTTACAAGGGCGTTGAAGTTTCAACAAGTTTGCGTCTTTTTATAGCGCTTTATATAGGCGTACAGTTTTGTACGCCACTAAAAGCTTCTTAAAAGCCAGATAATTATTTTGTTTGATTTAGATTTTTTGTCTTGTACAATGTCTTCCATCTAAGGGTTGTCAAGCATAAAATGTTTGCTGTGAAATATAGACATCGATCGACTATTTATAAACAGTAATAACGAAACCATAGAAAAAGACTGAATTTACTGAAAATAAGGAAAGAAGAATCATGAAAATAACGAGTAATTTTGTTAATTTTAAATGTCGAGTGCAGAAAACGGAAAAATGCTGAAACTTGAAACGAATCAATCACTAATTCCGCGTCTTTTTTAAAAATTGGTTCTTATTTTTCGTTTCCTTTCCTTCTCCACTTAAATATGAGTAAAATGTCACGAAGGCAAAGCAGAAATATAAAAAAACACGCAGATAAAAATAAATGACTCAATACAGGAAAAAAGTAAAAACACCAACTATCAAGAAAATCAATGCTTAAGTAAACGAATGATGATGGTTCTGAAGGAAAGCGAAAATATTCAGTAATCACCTAGTAATATTGAACAACACGATCAACATGATTTAGAAGCTGAAAACCAACTGAACTGTACAAAATTGGCATGTTTGCAATGAAGATAAGTTGCAACAACATGCATTCTTCAAGTGGCAAGTAAAGATCAACGTAAGAAAACCATGTATCATTAGTTAAAGGCAGGAGATATGGTTGATTTACTTAACAATATGGTGGAAGTAATCTCGAGTAAATGGGTGTACATGCAGTGAGGTAAAAATGGACAAAATGATTTTGTTCGTTATAAGGCAAACAGGTGGTTTACAAAGTTACTATAATGAATTTAATGGAATAATTTTGTCGGTAATGAGAACAACCAGTTTCCCAACAGCGAAAGCTGCATGATTGATCGACTGGATTAAGCATCATCAGGAAGCAACGGAAATTATCGCTTTCGCATAAATTTAAGCATTAAGTTCGAAAAAATCATACAATTTTTCTACGAGCCGGTCCTGAACTTATGTTGAAACCGCTTTTTTCCAGACACTTTTTAGATTTTTTAATCGTTATTTCTTCTGATGCAGTCGCCCCAAAAATCAATGGATGTTGCGATATGGTTGAAAGTGCTCAATCATTTTCTACAGCTGAGTATAATTTCAAAATAACATTGGCTGTATTTTCAAAGTTATATTTAAGGCAAACTTGCACAATTAATACTAATCTTTAAACAGGGGAATTGTTGGAAAATCCCGGATAAACATTGTGAATTCGTTGAAACTTTGCACTCTCATTAACGAATTCCTTTGCTAAAAATGAGCACAATTTTGGTATCAAAAATTACGATTTTCTATACACTGAAGTGCGATTGTATTTGCAAACTGATTTATCGACTGACCGTTTGCAACCTGATTTTCAAAAGTTTATTTTCCGCACACCAGCCCATATACAAAAACGCTTGTTACACCACTGGAAAGAGTAAACTTTCCTTTATTCTTGCGCCAAGTTGACTCTAATTCCAGTTTTTGAAGATATTTGACGATATTGTTGGCGTTACGCTTTTTGTAAGGCCAACTTGCACAATTGATACTAATCTTTAATTAATGAAAACAACGGAAAATTCCTGAAAATTAGTACGTGTTCCGATATGATTGAAAGTCTGTACAATTATCTACGAATTTCTCTTCTATAGCTGGGCAAAATTTTTGAATAATATCAGCTCGAGTTTAAGAGTTTAATTTCTTATAAGGCCAACCTGCTCCATTCATATCTACAAAAATCTGAGTACTGGAAACTTTGGAAGACTTCAGTAAACCTAAAAAAAATATTTCGAATTGCATGAAAACCTGTACAATCATTAAGCGATGTCTTCTTTATAAATCAACAAAATTCCAGACTTCAGTCTTGGATTTCTGTGCTCTAGAAGAAAGCTTTGCACAATTGATGCAAATCTGTATTTGGTAGAAATTTAGCAAAAATTGAAGAAAATTAGTAGGTGTTTCCGACTTTTTTAAAATCTGTACAATCCGCTAATCTCTTTTATAAAATATACAAAAATTTTTCAAGTCTAAAAGAAAAATATGCAAAAATTCTTGAAAATCAATCGTCCGAAATTTTTGAAAATCTGCTAATGCCTCTATATATGCGAAAATCTTCAGAATTTGAAAATTTCAGAATTCGACCATTGTTCAAAAAAAGGACCTTCTCGACTTCGGATTAATATAAGAGATTGCCAATAGAATATGCTTGAAAACTACAATTTATTTGCCTTCTAATAATGTTAAAGGTTTGGAACGTTTCCTCGATGGTTGATCAATAGCGCACGTTAGGTGCTAATTGATCTGCATATTTTCTAAAAACTTGGCTTGTTGCATATGCATGCGTTATATTCGGCAAAAATTCCCAACAAATCCAAAATTTTTGGTTGCTCAACTTAAAAACTGATACCAAACTGAGAAAACAACATTTAAGGTTCACGTTACAGTTCCAATATTCTTTACTCAAATAGAACCCGAATATGTGTAAAATTCCACTAGTTTTCATAAAAAATTGCACTTATATTAAAAAACGGGTTTTATTTAGTTGCAGACGCAACTGGTTGCTACTACAATTTCCAACACTACGACGAAGGCGACCGAATCATCACCAACGAGCCATGTTTGAACTGCACGTGCCACAACCGAATGCTCATGTGCTACTTAAGGGTGTGTCCCTTCACCAAAGCGATCGGCGCCAACTGCAAGGTGGAGAAAAAGCCTGACCAGTGCTGCCCAGTGATAACTTGCCCTGAAGGTAGGCGATTTTGCAGGCAAAATCGCGAGTTTTCCACTACAAAGACCTCCGAATTTCAGTTCCTGTCCAACTAGTCACATCGACAGCCCCTTCAACAGCTCTGGGACACCTCAATGAGTATGGCTGTTCTATCGACAATTTGTTCTATTCGGACGGTGCTCGCGTGCCTTCAAATCCCGAAAACCCCTGCGAACTTTGCTATTGTATTAGAAACAAAACTGCTTGCGTGATCCAACAGTGCACTCTGGAGGTTCAGGACTGTAGGCCCGTTTTCCAGGAAGGCGTCTGCTGTCCTGTTCGATACAACTGTGGTAAGTGGCTCTTTGAAATGGCTAAACCAGACCGAAATACTCAACTATTGCAAATTTTAGATCATCCCGAATATCTGGAAGGGCCTACGACCCCCCAGATCACTACAACCACTACAACCACCACCACAACAACAGAAGCCCCAACTACCACTCTACAACCCTTCGAGTGCCTCTTCAACGGCGAAAGGTACAACGACGGCGAGCTGGTGCAAAAAGACATTCCTTGCGTTAAATGCTACTGTATACGAGGCGACATTGTCTGCGCTGTCCAAGAATGCGGCCCAACTCCTCTGGATAAGGTGAACTGCACCGCTCAACCAATCACCGAAGGCCAGTGTTGCCCAGACACTTACGACTGCGCTGGAGTAATCGAAGAAGAACTCACAACGCTCTCTTCAGTTTCTTACGAAACTGAGCCCACTACAACATCAGTGGCCCTGGGAGAACTCGAACGCGGTACTGAACAGCCTCTAACCACGGCCAGCATCCCACAAGAGGAAGCACACCAACCGGCTCATGACGAAGAGGAAAGCTCTGAAGCGCCGGAAGTCGCCACCAAAGCCCTGCCCGAAGAAGCCACCAGACCTGGCACTCCTGAGTTAATCGAGGCAGTCACTGCACAACCAGCAGAAGCCCCTAAACCGGCTGAGCAGGCCACAGAACAACCAGAAGAAGAAGCAAGCAGCCCGGCTCCAGCTGAAGACGCTAAAGACGTTCAGGCCACCACTGCAGAACCCGAACAGATCACAAGAATTGGAATAGAAACAACCGAAAAGGAAGCAGTAACCATTGTCACTGCCATCACCCCTGAAACCCCGGCGGCGGAAGAAGACATTGCCAAGCCCACAGAAGGACCTGTTGAATCAATCACCGCCCGAGTAACGGAAGCAATTGAATCCATTACTTCCCGAGTTACAGACGCCGTGGAAGCCATCACCTCTTCCATTATGGGCACCAGCACTGAGAAAGCAGGCGAAGAAGCAGCAACCGAGAAATCAACAGCTGCCGAAGACACAGAATCACCTGCCCTCCCCACGCGTCCTTCGGAAGGCACTGAAGAACCAGAGTCTGACAAGGCGGGCGTTACACCTGCACAATCTGACAAGGAACAACCCGAAGAAGTATCCGAACCTTCAGACAAGGAGCAACCCGAAGAAGCACCTAAACCTTCAGAAGAGGAACCTACAGCAACAACTGAATCACAGGCGGAAGAAACCACTGAGCCAGTCCAACCTGAAGGAGTACACGATGAAAAAGAGGAACCAGAAACGGCGGGACCAAGTGAAGCAGAAACTGAAGCGGCCCCAGCAATTCAACCTGCTGAAGAACCCACAACTGCAGTACCAGAAAGCAATCCAACTGAACCCAGCGAGTTGCGTCCAGAAGTCACTGAACAACCCATTATATCTGAAAAATGCACATCCGAAGAATGCGCCAGGGTTCCGGCGGAAACACCCACAAGTCCTGCAGTTGAAAAAGCAACCGAACTGCCAGAACAAGCTCCTGAACTTGCTCCAGAAAAAACCGACGTTGGAGCTGAACCAACCGAGAAAGGAATATCTGAGAAACCTGAAGAAGAAATTGCAGGCCCCTCGGATGAAGTGCCAGAACAACCGAAAGTGCCCAGCGACAGTGAGCAACCCACCACTACTGAAACGGAAGAAGTCATTATCGTTACTGAAATACCCACCAAGAAAACTGAACTGCCCGAATCGATGGATCATGTATCAGAAACAGCGTATTCCACTGAAGGCCCCAAAGAGGCCATTCAGCCAACCACGGCGACTGAAGCCGGCAAAGTTGAAACAGAAGCCATCACCACCGGACAACCAGAAACTCGCGTTACTCTTCCGACTGAAGCAAAGCTTGAAATCCAAACTGAAGCTCCATCAGTGCCTGAACGAGGAGAAACTCCAACTGAAGGTCCCATTACTGAAGGAAGCACCCCCTCGCTGGTGGAACGTCTTGGTGATGAGCAAAAAACACCAGAAAGCGCCACCACAGAACTTCCACGCGAACAAGACAATGAAATCGAGCTGGACGAATCTGAAGTCACGGTCCCGAAAACCGATGAGCAAGTTACTGAGGTTGCAACGCCAGACAAACCCGAAGAACCTGCCACCACTGCTAGATCTGAAGAAGCTCAAACGGAGAGTGTTCCCAAAGAGCAACCAACCACTGTTCCAACTAAGGAAGCTGTTACTTCACCTGAAGAACCTTCGACTGCCAAGCTTCCAGAACAAATTACCGAGAAAGCCATCGTTCCTGAAGTATGCACTTCTGAGGCTGAGTGCGCTCCTGGCGCTATTCCTCCAGCTCCAGAGCCGATCACTGAGCTGCCAATTAAACCGGAAGAAGCCACTGGGGAAGTTGAACAGGCTACAACTGAAAGCAACAAAATCCCTGAACAGCCGACTGAAGAAACCAACGAAATTCCTGAAAGCGGAACAGAAGGCCTACCCAAAATTACAGAAGTATTGCCTGCATCCCCTGAAACTGAAGAAAGCTCAGGAGATCAGTCTACAGAAGCCGCACCGGCTAGGGATGAGGAAGAAGGATCTGGAGAAGCTCCCGAAGAAGGCAGCGGTGCTACCCAATCCATTGCTGAAGCAACAACCGCACAAGCTATTTCTGCGGAAGTTACCACTGCTAAAGCAGAACCTCCAGCAACTGAGCTTCCACAGCAACCTATTCCTGCTGAACCTGAAGCGACTGAATACCCTGTTCAAACCGAAGTTCCTGAAAGGGAAATTCCTGGCGAGGGCAGTTGTTTGGTTGATGGCCAAACCTATAAGAACAACAGTAGCGTACCACCTATCAACCATTGCCAAACCTCTTGCAGATGTGTCAGTTCTATTTTGCGATGCGAATCCATTGAATGTCCTCCACCGGCTCCTGGCCTACAGAATTGCCTACCTATCTTCAGCAGTCCAGATAGTTGCTGCCCAACATACAGTTGCAGTAAGTACCTAACTTTCCTTAAAATTATACATTTTGCCCACTATCTGCGTACTTTTGTTCTTACTCTATACCTCAATTATTGCACGAAATTATTTTGTTACAGTTGGATCTGAAACCACAAGTCCTATAGAATCTGACAGCCACACCGTTGAAACAACACCATCACTATCTGAAGCAGAAACAACAGCCGTTCCTGCCCTAACAGAAGGACCAAGCGAAGTTGCCACCGCACCTTCTGCTACCAAAGAACAGCCTGAAGTAACATCTGCCAAGGTTCCTGAACCGCAAGAGGAAGCCACCGAAGTAATTCCGATCGTTGCCAAAGCAACTGAACAACCTGAGTCAGTGACCGAGGCAATAACTGAAGAAGCCCCTAAGGCGACAGAGCCAGAGGAAGCTGAACACGTAACTACTGGAACATCCAGACCTCAAGAAGAAGAGGTGGAGAAGACTACTGAAGAAGAAGCCGGTGGAGAAGTGTCGGGTTCTACATCTAAACCAGTGTCTGATTTGTCTACTGAAGAAGCCCAACCACCGGTCACCGCTCAACCAGCTGAAGAAATCAGTGTCAGCAAAGCCGAAACACCTTCGGCAGAAAGCGCGACCACAGCGGCTGAAGAAATCGAAGCAACCACCAAACAAGCAGTTGTCCCAGAACCAGTTGGAACTATTACATCCGAGAAACCTGAGCTTGTGACCAAGGCTGCGGCAGAAGAACCTGTAGAATTGACAACAACTGCCGAAGGTGACAAAGAAATTGAACCAGTTACCGCAGAAGTGCCTGTGCCTTCTGTTGACGAAGAAACTCGTCCAGGAGTCGCAGATGAAACTACAGAAGTGGCTACTGAAAGTGGTGTGCCAGCAGTAGACACAGTGACCCCTGAAGTTCCCGAAAAGCCTGAATTACCAACTGAACCAACTGCAACAGTACTTCCTCAAGTGCCTGAAGTTGCAACCGAAACCGCTTATGACGAAGTAACTGAACTTGACAGGCAGGAAGAACCTGAGGTAACTACCACAGCCGCAGGAAAAGAAACAACTGAAGAAGCTAAAATTGCCAAGGGCACGGAACAACCTGAGGGCGAAGAAGCTGTTGCCAGTGTCCAACCAGTGACTTTCCCAGAAGAAGAAGTTTCCAGCCAACCAACCGTTCCAGCAGGTGCAGCTGAGGAGGGCAAACTTCAAACTCCAAGCACTAAAACTCCCGCAGAAAAGGAGGCTGAAGAACCCGAAACACCCGAGGAAGAAGCTCAGACCACTATTGCGCCAACAGAGGGTGAACTGGAGATGGAACACGTAACCGTGCCTGGAGATGTATATCCAAGCAAGCCCATCGAATCCGAATCTCACATGACCAGCCCGCACACATCGGAAGCTCCAACTGTAGTCCCAGTAGATGCTTCAACAGAAGCCGCCCAACGTCCGGAAGAAGATGGAACACATGTTCTAACCGAATCAGTTCCTGCAGCTAGTCCAGCACCCGAGGTGGAAATCACCCGTGGAGAAGAACCCGAAGAAAAACCAGAACTTGCAACAGAAAAACTTCCTAAGGTAGACGATACAGAAGCGACAACGGGACCAATTAAAGCAGCCGTACCAGAAGTGACGGAAACCCCTGAAGTTCCAGTCACCATAAGAACTATCGAAGGTGATCGGCCCATTGACTCTACTGGTGAACCTGAAGCAGCAACAGTAGTATCAAGAATCCCTGAACAAGAACCAACTGCACCAGTTGACGTTTCAGAGCAGCATACGGTCAAACCTGGAGCAGCCGAAGAGGAAGGATCCACACCATCTCATTTGGCTGACCAATTACCAGGTGAACCAGAGCCCGAAGTGACTGTCAGAAGTGAAACGGAACGAGTGCCTGAAGAAGCAGCAACAGAGGCCCCTGAGGAGGTAACTGTTGCACGTGAGGAGGGCAAGGTAACTAGTGCTCAAGAAGAGACAACAGAACCCGAAAAAACGATCCAGGAAGTTACATCTGTGCCCGCATCAACAGAGGAAACAGAGCCCGGACAGAAAATAGCTGGTCCCAGCGAAACTGAAAAGCCTAGCGAGTTGGAAGAAGGCACTACAGCTTTGCCAGTGGCTCCAGAAGAAACAGGAGAAACTGAGCGACCAAGTGAGCAAGAGAAGGAAAATGAAATATTCCCCAGTGAAGAAGAAAAGCAAACAAGCAAGCCTGCCCTTGAAGTCCCAGAGGAGGAAGCCAAGTATCCGGCTGTGGGAACAGAACAGCCTAGTGCCACTGAACTACCATCCGAAACAGAACAGCCCAGCATTTCAGATGAAGACAAAACTCCCAAGCCGGAGCAACCAAGCATCGTTACTCAGAGACCGGAGGGCGAACTTCCAATCACTGGCGAAACTGAACAACCCGCACAGGCAACAACACAACTTCCTGAAGAAGGAATCGTTCCAACTGAACCTCAAGTGGCTGGAAAAGTATCTACGGAACTTCCAGAATCAGCTACAAGTGAATCTGAAAAGGCTGGACCAGCAGCAACAGATCTGCCTGAGAAAGAAATCGCCCCAACTGAATCTGAAATGGCCGGACAAGTACCTACAGATCTTCCCGAAGCAGTCACAAGTGCGGCGGGTGAGTCGCAAACAGAAGGACCTGAACAAGGAACCGTTCCAAGCTATATTAAAAAGGCTGGACAAGCACCAACAGAGCTTCCGGCCGAGAAACCAGTTCCTAGTGAAACGGAAAAGGCTGAACAAGAACCAACAGAGCTTCCTGGAGAAGGAGCCGTTCCAACTGCAACTGAGGCAGAAGAAGGCGCAGCAACACAAGAGCCAATTGATCTGGAAAAGGCTGGAGAAACCCCAACAGAACTTCCGAAAGAAGGACTTATTCCAGGCGAAACTGATAAAACTGAAGAAGCTTCAACAGAGAGTTTTAAAGAAGAAACCGTCCCAAGCGAAAGTGAAAAAGAAGGACAAGCTCCAACAGAACTTCCGAAGGAGGGTCTTGCTCCAAGTGACGTTGAGAAGGCCGGAGAAGAACCAACTGAGCTTCCTAAAGAAGGAGCAGTGCCAAGCGCAACTGAGAAAGCTGGACCTTCCCCAACTGAACTTCCTGAAGAAGAAGCAGTTACAGGCAAAACTGAAAAGACTGGAGAACCAACCGAAATCCCTAAGGAGGGACTTGCCCCAGGCGAAAGTGAGAAGGCTGGACAAGCACCAACTGAGGTTCCTAAAGAGAGACCTGAACCAAGCGAAGCTGAAAAAGAAGGACAAGCACCTACAGAAGCTCCTGAAGAAAGACCTGTTCCAGAGGAAATTGAAAAGGCTGGTCAAACGCCAACAGAGGTTCCTGAAGAACTTGAACCCGAAAAGCCTGGAGAGGCACAAACAGAGAGTCCTAAAGAAGGAGCAACCCCAAGTGAACCTGAACAGCCTGAGCAAGAACCAACAGAACTTCCTCAAGAGGAACCTGTTACAGGCGAAACTGAAAAGGCTGAAGAGAAACCAACCGAGATTCCTAAGGAGGGACTCGCTCCAAGCGAAACTGAGAAGGCTGAGCAAGAACCAACAGAAAAGGCTGGACAAGCACCAACTGAACTTTCCAAAGAAGAGCTTCTCCCAAGCGAACCTGAGGCAACTGAAGAAACACCAACAGATGGTCTTAAAGGAGTCCCAAGCGCGACTGAGAAGGTTGAACCAACATCAACAGAGGGTCCTGAAGAGAGACCTGTACCAAGCGGAACTGAAACGACTGGACAAGAACCCACAGAACTTCCTGAAGAGAGACCAGTCTCAAGTGGAACTGAAAAGGCTGGACAAGAACCAACAGAAATTCCTGAAGAAGGAGCCGTTCCAAGTGCCACTGAGGCAGCTGGACCATCAGCTACAGAACTTCCTGAAGAGCGACCAAGTGAAACTGAAAGGGCCGGTCAAGAACCAACGGAGCGTCCTGAACCAAGCGAAACTGAAAAAGATGAACAAGCTCCAACAGAACTTCCGAAGGAGGGTCTTGCTCCAAGTGACGTTGAGAAGGCCGGAGAAGGACCAAGTGAGCCTCCTAAAGAAGGAGCAGTGCCAAGCGCAACTGAGAAAGCTGGACCTTCCCCAGCCGAACTTCCTGAAGGAGAAGCAGTTACAGGCGAAACTGAAAAAGCTGGGCAAGAACCAACAGAGCTTCCTAAGGAGGGACTTGCTCCAAGTGAAGTTGAGAAGGCCGAACAAGCACCAACAATTGTTCCTAAGGAGGGAGCTATCCCAAGTCAAACTGAAAAGGCTGTACCAGCACCAACAGAACGTCCTGAAGAGGAACCCGTTACAGGGGAAACTGAAAAGGCTGGAGAAGAACCAACAGAAATTCCTAAGGAAGGACTTGCGCCAAGCGAAGCTGAAAAAGCCGGACAAGCACCAACAGATCTGCCCAAAGAAGGACCCGCGGTTCCAAGTGGAACTGAGAAAGCTGGAACATCGCCTACAGAACTTCCAGAAGAAGAACCTGTTACAACCGAATCTGAAAAAGCTCAGCCAGAATCAACGGAACTTCCTAAGGAAGGTCTTGCTCCAACTGACTTTGAGAAAACCGGAGAAGTATCAACAGATACTCCTAAAGAAGGACTTGTTCCAAGCGAAGGCGAGAAGACCGAGCAAGTGCCAACCGAGCTGCCTAAAGAAGGAACCATCCCAAGCCAAACTGAGAAGGTTGGACAAGAACCAACAGAACTTCCTGAAGCTGTTACAAGTGAACCGGGCAAACCCGTGGAAGGTCCAGCAGAGCTTCCCGAGGAGGGAACTGTGCCAAGCGAAACTGAAAAGTCCATACAAGCAGCCACAGAGCGTCCTGAAGAAGTTGTGCCAATTGAAACTGAAAAATCCGAGCAAGCACCTACAGAGGTTCCCGAACAGGCAATTGTGCCTACGGGATCTGAGTCGGCTGGACACGTTCCTACAGAGCTTCCCGAATCAATTACCGGCAAACCTGAAAGAGCTGGAGAACGACCTACAGAGCTCCCTAAAGCCGAAATCGAGCCAAGCCAAACTGAAAAAGCTGAGCCAGCAGCAACAGAGCATCCTGAACAAGGACCAGCCAAAAGTGGAACTGAAAAAGTTGAGCAAGCACCAACCGAGTTTCCCGAAGAGACAGCCACTACTGCGACTGAAAAGTCTGAACAAGTGCCCAAGAAACCGGGTGTCGAGGACGAAGTCCAAACAACTGTTACAGAAGCGCCATATTCGGCAGAAACGAGAAAGCCCGATGAAGCCCCGGCAGCTCCAGAAGCGCCAATTGTGTTCCCCGAAGAGAAGCCTTTCGAAGAAGTCGTTACAACGGCTCTGCCTGAAGAAATTGCGAATATATCGCTACCGGTTAGAGGAGGTGGGCTGTTCACCTCAGGGCCCCAAGTCGAAGACACAACCAAGCAACACGTTCCTGGGGAAATGTCCACTTCAGGTCTTGTCTCTGAACCGACTACAATCTTGCCAGCAACAACCAGCACGGAAACCCAACCAGCCAGCATACCCGGCGAAGAAATTCCCGACCAGAGCGAGTATGAACAAGGTGAAGATTACGACGACGGATCAAATACCTTCGGGCCCGGCACTTGCAGGTGAGTTTCCAGAGCGAATCTATGTTTGGGACCCATCCGATAATTAATTGTTTGTTTCAGATACGGCGGAAAGGTCTATGTATCGGCTCAACAGATACCCAGGGACGATCCTTGCGATTTCTGCTTTTGCTTTAGAAGCGACATTATCTGTCTTCAGCAAAGCTGTCCACCTCCGATACCGCGCTGCCATGAAGAGCCCATTCGCGGATTCTGCTGTCCTCGTTATGAATGCCCGGTTTCGATGGCCACTGCTGTTAACGTAACCACCAGCACCACAACCACCACCACCACCTTGCCACCGCACTTTTTGTCGCACGCTTACAAAGGAAGAGCCTCGAAGACCGGCTGCCAGATATCCGGAAAAGCTTACAAAGTAGGGGATGTGATCAGATCGACTAGCGGACCCTGCCTTCATTGCACGTAAGTAGCCAGAACAGTTTCACACGGTTTAATTCTGCTAATTTACACATCCAGCATCAATTGTACGTCGAAGTCACCAATTAGGTCGCGCCATACAGACGTGATTATCACGGCAATGTAGCACAGTAAAAACACGTTCATGGACAAGTATTGAAAATAGTACTTCTCGTTTCTAGTCTGGTCTTAAAAAGGGTATTCAAAGCTGTATCATCATCGGTTAAAATGCAGAGTATTAAACGAAAGAAAACAATATCAAAGTTTAGGGAAGTACATGTTTATTGCATACCGGGAAACATAATTTAAATAATTAATAACTACATAAAAAAACAAATCAATGTTTCTTTATGTGGTCGAATAATGAATTTTCATTTCACAATACGTATGATAATAAATAATAGAAGATATTTATTCAGACCTTAATAAAGTTTGATCACAAAAATATATTTTAAATGTTTGAGTTCATTAGCTTTTCTGGCATGAGCCAGAAAATGTTAATTAATAGTTATAATTATAGGACCTTGCAAAACGACCGTGAAATATTTTCAGTAAAATTGATACGGAAAAGGAATATTTAAAAAAAATACCTAATATTATACAACAATAAAATGTCATTCGAACAGCAAAAATTAATATAAATTCTCCTAATTATTATTTTATAGCAAAACCTCCTTCATATTACGTTTTTTTTGTGGTTATGTTTTTCATTGCGCTCCTCAAATATTCAAATGTATGACAATATCGAACTGAGAACGAGTGAGACTCGTTTCCACATGAAAAGCGCGTGGAAGTTACAGCGTGTTAGTTGTAATTAGAAGAAAAATTGCTGGACAAATATCGGCTTAAAACAGACGAAAGTTTCAGTCTCGGCTCTCATAAAGCTTTAATAAATTAGTCACTCATTAACCGATGAGTTATAACTCGTTAACTCAGAGAGCGGCAACAACTAAAAAAGCGCAACTCAACACAGTGTTACCCAGGCCTACCTACAATCACGTATTATTGACGGCGCTTATGAACGAAAATGTCACATGTATAAATCTGAGTACAATGTGACGTATTTGACGTCATTGTGCTGGTTGGGCACTACGCAATTCCAAAAAAAAAGTGGCGCACCTGATTTTTTGGAAAATTTCAGTCTCCTAACTTTTATACTAATTCATCGATTTCAATATATATTTTTGTAATTTGAAGCATAATTTTTGGCTAACTACCTCGAGGGAAAAAAATGTTGATTCTTCAATTTTCATGACAAATAATGGAGAAAACATCGATGCACGTTTTTTCACAGTTTTTCAAGCACCACCGTTTTACTTGAAACCAAAATGTAGCCAATCAATCCTTTAGATACTGCGTTTTTTGGTGCACATTGCCTTTTTTAATCTATGACTTATTTTCAAAAGAAACAGAAATATAAAACTGATTATTGTAATTATAATTATACAATATGCTGTCATTTTGTTAATTTTTAATATAAAGCAATGATTTAAAAATTCAAATTTTCTCAATAAGACCCAATTCCAAAAGTTGATTATGGTTTGGATTCAAGTAAAACGGTACCGTTTGACGCCCTGTTGGTTGTTTCGAAAAGCTGGTCCAGCGCTTTCCTCATTATTTGTGAAAGAAAATAAAGAATCAATATTTCTTACTCCACCAAGAAACAGTCAAAGAATTAAGTGAATTGGGCAAATTCTAATTATCCCTGTTTTTAGGTTGTCGTAATCTTTGAAATTTTGTCCGTTTTAATATTAAAATGGGCTTATTGGGAAACAAGGAAACTAATAATGAAGGGCTTAAATAAATAAACGAATGCTTTGAGACTTAGTTTAACACATAAACTGATCTTATTTCCAGATGCGGTGGAGATGGACAAATGAAATGCGATCCAAAACCTTGTAGTCCAGAACCAATGCTTCGACAGATGATCGCGGCCGCAGCCCTGCGAAGGAGAAGATGAGAAGCTTAAACTGAAACCGTGTAAATTAGTGACATAAACTGCACAACGGTGCAAAGTGATAAAAAGACGATTTATATTAATTGACGAATATAGTCCAGCACTATATGACGCATTCTGGGGTGCCAAAAAAAATGGGACGATTAGGTATAGTGTGCCTTCTACATAAAAAAAAATAATAATAACATCGCCTGTGCAAGAGATGGTTTTCTAGTCAATTAGTTAACTGATTACCTTGAAAGGCTAGGCGGGCATCTTTTGTGACCACAGGAAAATTTCGGGGAATTGTCGTTGAATCTTGAGAAATTTACCCTCTTCGTTTGGTCAGTTGTACTTAATACAGGGCAGCCCAGTTAAAACTGTATCATGTACATTGAAATTGGGATGCTTTGTATATAATTGTACAGTTTAAATAGACTTAGTTGTAAGTAGTAGCAGAACTCTTTCTACTATCTTGATTGCTTCAAATCAAACATTTTAAAGGGACAATCGGTGCCTCGTCGTTTTCCTATTAAACACGCACAATGGGTTTCAATCAAGGGTAGGTTTCTTCCAAAATGCATCTTCCCCTCTAAAATAAGCACGATATTTCGTAAAACAATCGATTTTAATTCGGGTGATCGCAGTCATCTTGACTATACTCAATAAATATACATTATGACTCGACTGAGTAAATTTTTACACTTTTGTAAATTTATATTTAGAACCTTTTCGAGTGTCGTAGGCGGATCAAATAATATAATTCACGGGATAGTAGTACATTTATTGTTTTAAACTTGGGATTTTCGGGGATCTAGCCAAAAACTAGATCCCCTTGAAACGACCATCATCAGTGTTGCGTATCCTGACACACGTCCGAGTTGTTTGACCGGTAGAAACCCTTTGATAATAATTGGCAGTCAATTATTTATCAAATCCTAGCATTTAAGTAATTATTGTAGCTATTTCTGCTGCTTGAACGCTCGGACTGTTTCTTGTATATTACTGGATGCTCAATATATATCAATAAGTAGAATATGTAATATTTATCGATAATAAATTATGTAAATGAGTTGTAGTTTATTTCTTTGAACCACCCGTTTTCCTCAATAAACTACTTCAAAAACACGCTAATTTAAAACAGCAGCAGTTTAAAAAAAAGGACGCGCTTGATTTTTTTGGTAAAACTCAAAGTAAATAACCGACATTAAAATATATTTTTTAGTAATTTGTAACTTATTTCTTCGTTAAGAGTAAAAAGGCTGATTCTTCATAATCTATGACAAATAATGGGGCCATCGTGCCACAATTTATTCAGCACAAAGTTCAGTTAGACCATCTTTCTTCAGCTTCTAAAACTAGTAGACGCGTGGTTTCCATTTGGGATACGTAAAGCCTATTACGAATACGAAAAGCCCATTCTTCTAATGATTTTTTTAAAACAAATTTCACATTTTTGCTTGTATTTATTGAAAGATTGAGAATTTTTGAAAAAACTTTGGTAGTAAAAGATATCGAGACGAGCTATCGAAAAGGTCCTAAGAGCTAAAGGGATGTATACAACTATTTCTTAGAACGTGGTATTTTAACTTCGAGAGCTAGCAAAGTTTTCACAATATTTTCAACCGTTTCTTAGATAAGGGGTATTTTAAGATCGAGAGTCGCCAAAGTGTCCACATTAAATAATTGCACCACTGGTTCTGGTTCTGGTTCTTTTAGAAGCATCAATTCTAGCTTAAATAATTCATAAAACCTTTGATTTTAAGTTTTTTGAAAAGAGTCTGGATCTTAAGGAAAAACATTAAAAATTCGAATACAAGCTCTAAATTTGCTTTTGTTACAAATAAAAATTGGGTAAAAACCCGGTTATCCAACTTCAGGTCAATAAAAGCGCGTTTCAAGTGCAAAAAATCGGACTTTTCCATTCTTTTGTCAGTGTAATGCTTTTGTGCTGCACACAAGAGGCCCGGCACTGTTTGGACGTAAAGAAACGTTTTTGGTGCTTAAAAAACCCAAAATATATGCCTGTTTTGCCGAACCGTTCGGACACTGATTTAGATGCCAGAAAACACTCTAAACTAAGCGACTATTCAGGTTTTATGATTAAACCAGTGCTGTGGTTTAGCTCGAAGGATTTGCTATAACTTTCCAATTATAGTTGTATTCAGCCCTTCGGGTACAACATTGCTTTGGGCGTAAAGAAACACCTTTTGCCATTTATCCAGTGCCGTATCCCAACGATTCCACACAGGTCCATATAAATATAAGTAAACTGAAAATGTGGATGTTGTCGCAAGCACTTATTTTAGTAACAATGAATATTTTAGAACAACAAATTCTATGTGTGAAAAACGACGAAAATATCCCCTTTTTGTCACCTTTCAGGAATCACAAGATCGAGTGAGGCGTGCCATTTTTCGAATCACCAAAAACCGCTAAAACCTGGCTGGGTATTTTCCGCATTATTTATCATGGAATATAACAAATCAACATCCCTTACGCTTGAAATAATAGCAAAAAAATAAAAAATATATATATTCAAATCCGGTACTGGGTATAATAATGTCAACTTTTCCAGAAAATCTGGTACCCACTTTGTTGCAATTGCGCGCATAAAACCCTGTTTAATAATTTTGCCAAAAATATTTTAGGAAATCTGGGGTATGGTGAGGTTAAACTATTGGTTGATCAAGTTATTTAATAAACAAAGCTGAGAAACTGAGAAACGCACCTGATACATCAGGAAATGGACTGGGTGGCATGGAAGACTGCAGTGGAAATAAAAGAGTAAACTATCTTGTATGTTTCAGTCTTCTACATCCACAATATAATGTGCAGGGATTAACTCCTTCAACCTCTCGTAGGCCTTTGAAGTTGAATCTTCACAGCAGGATTCCACTGTTATTTTCACCTGGTAAATACTGAAGAAGCATTGTAAGGCAAATGATCAAAATTGCACTGCTTCGAATATACAGTATGTTTTTAATAAATGTCCGAAATTTTTCAGGGGATTCTTCACGTATTTTTAAGAAAGAAAGTCCATATAGGGCATGGATCCGCAAGGTCCTACTTATCCAGCCACAGTCTTAAAAAATTAGTTCTATTTTTTGCTTTTTCTAAGTAATTGTTTTATATTTGATCTTGGTTTTCCACTTGCATATAGAGGATACTACCTACATATCTTTCTCTCTTTGGAATAGTCATGATTTTTTGTGGATGCTTGTATCATATTTTTGGCACGAAAATAAATTTCTATTGATTGAACATACAAAAATTTGAATTCATTTTTAAGACCCCGGAGGTGCATAAGTAAGGGCTTGCGGACCCATGCGTATATGGAACACTGCGATAATTAGCATTTAGTTTAGTGGCCAAGTTAACTTGCGCCGCAGTAACGCTAAAGTCATTTAAGTATTTGGAGTTCAGTTTATTTGTAATCAATGAATAAATGACTAATAGATATTGAAAGTAAAGGATAGGAATTTTCAAAAAAGCTCGACAATAACGGCAATATATTAACTGACCTTTGAACGTTTTCACGTCCGCTCAAAATATCGGTTGAGATAACTTATCACCCAATATTGTTGCCTGATCATATTCCTACTAACCTGTGATGCAATTTAGGGTAACATCCAAACTGAACGCTTGGAAATTCATCTACAACTTGTTGCAGTTCTGTAATAATTCGATATTCTGCTACGTTACAGTAGAATGCTCGAGTAAAGAACCGTTTGTTCGATCTAAACAATAATGGACCGACTTCTGACACTGTTTTCTTTAGCAGTTCTGGTATTCCGGGGAACATGTAGACGTTTTTTACAGACACATTTGGGTAAGATAAATTTGCCCCGGAAACGGTTTTATAGTGAAGCCTTGACGAGCGCGGAATCTGAAAGTTTCTATCAAAAATTTACCGTTGTTGAATAGCGTTTTAAAATTGCTCACATAAGCCAGCTTCATACCGGCAGATAAAGGGTCTGTAGTTCTGTAAAATTCACAGCAGATATCTTTCAACTCTGGGTGTAGAACAAGGGGCTCATTAAAGGCAAGCGCTACGCCTAAAATTCAATTGGAATTGAAAGCCTAAACGAGCTGTGGCGTTTAGATGCTAAGAAATACCTTCGTAAGTAACATCATCATGAGTGGGCCCTATTCCCCCTGTAGTTAAAACATAGTCAAATGTTTTGGAAAATAGTCTAATTTCGTCTCCGATTTCCTGTACGTCGTCAGAGACTACAGAAATCTGCAAATTGCATAATTTGAATGTATTTTAGTAGTTGCGGGCTGGAAGCAAACCTTTTTCAACTTCAGGCCCAATCTATGCAATTCCTTTGCAAGAAATGTAGAATTTGTATCGAACACTTCGCCTTTGAGTATTTCGTCTCCTATAACTAATCCGGACAGTGTAGAATGGGATTGTAAGTAAAAGAATGCGAAAATCTTACCTACAATACCGGCACATGGGATTTTTTGGCCTTTTTCAGTGCTGACATTGCAATTACCTCGTGCATATGCCGCTATTCGACGAAGCCACTTTGACGACATGTCGAATTTTTAATGTTTCAATGAAACACTCACAATTAACTTAGTGAATTGTACATAAAATTGCAGGTTATAAGCTGCATAAATAAACAAAAGTTAGATGGTAGTAGAACAGCTGACTGTGAAGATTGAGGCGAGTAGATCTCGTCTTTATCTATGGAGTAGATTGACCACCCTATAGACACGTTTACTGAAGCTATACTAATGAATACTCTCAATTAATATTAAAATAATTTTAACTGCTCGTTAGTTTCTTTTACTTAAAATTATTGAGAGTTTTTGATTAATTACACTATTGATAAAAGAAAATGCATATTTATTTATAAAATATAAAAGTAAATAAAGTGCGATCCGTTTCAAGCGCCAAAAAGGAACGGGTAAACATTTGAAGTATGCCAAATATGTCACCTGTCATTCGGGCGTGCATTTTTGGATATCGCCCCGAACGATGAGCACATAAGTCAGATTTGTACCGGTTTTTCTTTAATTTTCTCTAGTGCACATATAGTGATCCGAAAATTTTCATCAAAAATTTAATCATGGGTTCGTATTTATCAGAGCCTGTAGTTGAAAAAGTCTCCAGCGACGGCGCCAACGATAAACTCGTTTATGGTGCAAGTTCTATGCAAGGTTGGCGAGTAAAGCAAGAGGTAAGAATGACGCCGATTTTAATCGTTTTTCGTAGATACAGTTTTTTGCTCCTAAACAACTCAAAACGACGTTCGAAAAGTTGCCAAAATATCACATTTTCCGACTGGATCCAACCCATGTGTTTCCACGGCATTTAGTGTTTAAAGTTACCCTAAAAGACAACAGTGTGCATGGTTTGAATATTAATATAAATTTCAGAGTACAATTAACTGGACAAGTAATCATACTAAGTACAACAGGGCAATATAAAGTCTAGACAACATAAATGCAATATCAATGTTCCACATGTTATCTTCAGTTCCGATTTCGCTTCTCCAAAAACACTTTCTTTAACCCAGTCACTTACGTCTTTAAACGCAGATGTTTTATTTTCTGAAATGCCAAACAATAAACCCGAAACATGCAGCTGCTCCAACACTCAACAATATTATTTGACTGTTTCAGGACGCACATAATTCTATCCTCGACTATGATGAGAATAGTACATTATTCGCCGTCTACGACGGTCATGGGGGCCAAGAAGTGGCCCAATACTGCTCCACTCATTTACCTGCTTACATCAAAAACACCGAGGCTTATAAAAATGGAGATATCGAACAGGCTCTCATCCAAGGGTTCTTGGGTTTCGATGCCACAATGACGACGAAAGCAGTAGTGGATGTTTTAAAAGTAGGTATACATTTGTCAAAAGTATTTTGGAAATAATGGTATTTTCCTTAAGGAATTTGCTGGCGACACGGAAGCAGAAGAAGCTGAAGAACAAGAGAATGTCAATGACTTATATGAAGAAGCCGCCATGCCCATAGAACAAGTTATTGAAAAATACACAAGCCTCGTCAACCCACTCTTAAAACATATGAAAAAAGGATCTGAATTGAATAAATCTCCTATGCTCACTGCAGTAAGTGGTCTGGACATTTAGTTCTTTAAATCTACCAATTTATTGCCCTCCAGATAGCTCGTACTAGTAGCTCGAGCGAGAGTAGCGATATCCCACCACCAAACTTACAAGAAGCAGGCAGTAGTGGCTCTGCATCATGCAGCGCCAATAAAGACAGCTCAGAAACACCAGAAGTTAATGGGGAAGGTGAAGGAAAGTCTGGTAAGTTAGTTGACTAAATCTTATGTTTTCAATTGGGGGTGTTCCGACAAACCGATAAATTTGTAGGGGTGTTTTTTGTTTTGTGGCCAAAAAGAGCGACTTTTTGATATAGAGGGTGTGTAAAACAATTTAGCCAATGTTCATTCAATTTTCACAGCTTAGAGTTAACCAAATTCATCATATTTTGGATTAGTGATCATGGAGGCAATTGTCTAGTTTGTCATAAACAACTTAACTCGGTGATTCATTTGCTATTTTTGAACCTTGAACTTTTAGGTAAATCCACCTAAACGGCAACTGGCTTCACTTGCCGACATTTCCATATCATCCTGCATTTTTTATAACTTACCCTAACAAGTGATCCAAAAATTAAATTGTTAAGCAGTAACTTACCTGCAGAGAGAAAATTAAAAAGAAAAACTTTATGAAATACACAATTTTACTTGCAATGAAAATGAGTCGAAAATGCCTTATTTAAATTATTTATATCGGACCTAGAGCTGCCAGCATCTGAAGGATTCTTGATGTGGATCTATATTGTTTAGCAGGCAGTCGTGCTTATAAATGAATAGTCGCTGACATTTAATGTAATTGCAGCAAAAGCAAACGAAGATACAAAAACACCAACAAATGGATCCATTCCGAACATAGTGATTACCTCTCCTGGTTCAGAGGTAAAGGAAACCGAACTAGAAGATGATAAAAATAAAAAAATTGTGCAAAATGGTGATGTCACTGGGGAAAAACACAATCTGGAGGACCAGAGCCCTCCAGCACCAGTATGTGCAACAGATAAAGGTCGGTGCTCTTTCGTCCAGAATTTGTATAAAAATTATGAAAAACGTATACTTTTGCAGGTAAGTCCCCAATGAAAAAAAAGGTAAAAACCCCTGTTAGAAGCTCGCCCCGTAAAATAAACGGTGTTCAGCTTTACAAAAAACTGTTGGATTTTGATGCCAGTGATGAAGACACAGAAGACGATTCAACATTCGTATCAGGTATAAATAGCGATTACTGTAAGTTTAAGAAAAATATGTCTTTCATTTTAGAAAACAGCTCAGACGAAGAAGGCGTGAATGTTTCCGTTGAAGGAGGATCGGAAGAGGAGAGCAGTGATGCAGATGATGAGGAAGAAGCCGAAGAGGAGGAGGACGATGACGAATTGGATGATGATGAGGTGAATTTTATCACAATCGGAAAGCAAAATTTAATTACTAATTTAAATGAATCTTCGATATATAGCAAGACTTGGAATTCGCCAGGAATATGAAAGAGGAGCCGGGTTCAGACAGTGGTTGTACAGCAGTAGTGGCAATTCTAAAAGAACGTGAGCTCTATGTTGCAAATGCTGGAGATTCTAGATGCATTGTCTGCAGAAACGGTAAGTTCATGTTTCACATATTTTTTATGCACCCAAATCGCATTGGTTTTTTTAAATAATCGGATAACAATTTCGAATAATTAATTCCCAGGCAATGCTGTTGAAATGTCGTTCGATCACAAACCGGAAGATGCTCCAGAGAGGCAAAGAATTATGAAGGCAGGAGGCAAGGTAACTGGCGATGGGCGAGTGAATGGTGGGCTCAATTTGAGCAGGGCTCTTGGTGATCATGCCTATAAACAAAACGCATCACTCAGCGATAAGGAACAAATGATCACAGGTACATATATCGGCTTGTAAAATAGAAAAAAGGTGGCTAAATTTTCCGCTTCAGCTTTACCAGACGTTAAGAAGCTGACAATAAACCCAGCAGAAGACGAATTTATGGTGCTGGCCTGCGACGGCATTTGGAACTTTATGTCCAGCCAGCAAGTTGTAGACTTTGTCAAGGAGAGATTAAAGGACAGTTCAGTGAAAATATCGAGTATTTGTGAAGAGGTGAGTTGGTATAATAGGGTCGTTGCACAAAAAAAATTTTTGATTGAAACTTCTCCCAACTATAGCGTGAAGGTTGTTTAGAAGAATGCCTAAAGCAAATTTCTAAAAAAAAAAAATTATCAAAAAAAGGAAACAAAAAGTTACCAGATTTGCTTGTAAAATGACACCACGCGAGAACGTTGTTTTACTGGCTTTGACGTAGAGTCGCACAAATCCTACGCTAGATATATGCCCATAACCAGCAGAATGTACACTTGCATATTGCGTAGGAGCAAGCTAAGCGTTTTTAATACATTAACATTTAAGGCATATTAAATATAATTTATTATGCCATCTGGGTTTGACGATATCGATACTTTATGGTATTAGCTTTCTTGTAATCTGACCATGAAGAGCTTGTTTGACTGGATCTTCCGGTTTCTGAATTCCAATTTCTAAACAATCGATTATGGCGTAAACTTTACTATAATGTGCACGAAAAGGCATTGGATTTTTAGACGTTTTTTAACTTTGTTAGGTGTCATACAGGCTATTAAACTCTTTAACATCTCGCTAATTAATGTAAGGAATTTTGCAAAAATTCTACTCGTACTTGCGTTCGAGTTCAGCAAAGCAAAAGTTTTGTGAATTCGAATTTTTTGAAGAACTAGATAAATATTTACAAAACCCAATTTTGTGGTCTCTCTAAGTAGCTTAATTATAAATAAAGCTTCACTTATAATGTTAGGTCAATTACATTTCAAAACTACGGCTGGTACAGGAGCGTCACTACTTCGTTTTCTGTCATCTTGGCACGCAAATTTATGTGGAACAGCTTTTTTAATTCTTTTCTAAACTCCCATCATTTTCCACTCCATAAAAATTTCGTTTTTATTCAAGCTGTGAAATAAAATAAACGAAAATTGCACATAATGAAACCTAAATCTAACGAACACACAGGGTTAAGAACCCTATAAATATTATTGCTTTTATGTGAACTTACATCGAAATGATCCTCACAGGCATAAATGTTACTTTTTGCAGAAAGATCGATGCAGTTTCACCGCGCTGCTTTCAACCACAATTTCAGTTTCTTTTCGTTCAATTGCACTTTTACAAATGTTTTTCCTGCAGACGTAGTGGTACTTATACACTCTGGCACCATACAGTACTTATAAGCCATTTTAATTTCAATAATTGAGAAACAAGCAAACCAACACACAATATTCACATTAGAGCATGGAAATATGTATAAGCCATGAATGTGGTGGAGCAGAATTCTGCTTCGTGACGTCACATTAGATTAGCCAAAACTCTTCGTTTCGGCACGCTTTCTGTAATTTTAAACTTTGACTGCTGATAGATTTGTTATGAGTAGACAGAATGTGAAAAAAAATCGTAGGGCCCTTATTTGTTCGTCAATAATCAATTTTATTTAAAAAAAAATGTGCAGCGACCCCATTGTTTAGATCAAAATTAAAAGCATCAATTTAACCGTTTGCATTGCAGATGTTTGATCATTGTTTGGCCCCGAATACAATGGGGGACGGTACCGGGTGCGACAACATGACTGCGATAATTGTAAAATTCAAGCCCAACTTGAATAAACGAGCAATCAGCCCGCAACCCGAAGAAAACGAGTCAAAACGGGTAAAGACTGAAGAGAGTTAACGTGCCCAATCATAGATTTAGAGTCGCCTTGTTTTAAAGGAAACATATATTTTTTGTACGAAACATGTTTGGTTCTAGGGTCAACTAGAGGAGATCATTTGGACAAATTGTATGGGCAACTTTTTATGCTAATTCGTTTGTCAGTTGTATTGGAGTTTAGTTCATTATTTCCCTACTGAGAGTTCACGTTCAATAAAAATTCGTATATTATATATTTTTTAATTTTCGAATTACTTATTTGACCACCTAAATATTTTTGTCAATAATGTAATGTTTTACTTAGTTGTCTCAATAATACGCTGGATTACTGTCTATAATTTTATTTTTGAGTTGATTGTTTCATAAATTAATGTAAAATTTTTATGTTTGTAGGACACAGTTTGATATTTATTTAGATAATTTAATATGCCAGGTGCTTGTTTAAGAGATGCGATATTTTGTTATACATCTGTCGAGTTTTGAAGATCATTCTGTAATCATGGTGAATGCCTTTTATCGTGTCCCACTACAAACAATAGATTTTGTTCATTACAGTCACAGTCTACCAATTTACCATTAGAATAAACATCATTTTAAGTTTTACGGCTGTTTCCAGAAATAGGTTAGTTGTACAGAATAACTTTCTAAATACGAGTGGCTTAACCATTGTATTATTTGTTGTACACACCCGTAAATAAATTGTTTAGTAGGTTTCTAATAACGTGTCAGTTGTGTTATTATTTCATTTTGCTCAATTTCAGTTTTTTGCAGGGAGTTTAGTTGGATTTTCAGCCGTTCCAGTTCCATGGATGTTTCGTTTATTAGTGCCTGCATCATCAAATTGGTCAACTACAGATTTCAACTCTACACAGTTCACTTACATGCAACTGTTGCTGATTGTGCTCTTTTTGTTTCTCCATCCCTTGCAACAAGTTTCGAGCGCCAATCGCTTTGATTTTCTGTTTCTCAATTTTGTTGCTCAAGGCTTCCACCATTGAAATAAACCTGTCTGCAATTTTTTGAAACTCGTCAATTTCTAAAATCGATTACTTTACAATCCTCAATTTTACGGCTAGTTATATACACTTGCTTTCTACGTATATAAAACACTCCTCCTTCAGATCGCTGGTTTGCTTGTAGTTTTCAGGCTCTAAGATACATATTTTGTCAATTTCGTTGAAAAAGATCCCGTTTGCTGCTAGATCTGACATTGTGAACGATTTATGTTTATAATTGTAGTGTATCAGTTTGGTAACTATGGCTATATGAGTACAAACTCTGGGTTTTACCACATGTTTAAAACAGTCAATAAATTATAGTCCAGACATATTTGTCAAAATAGGGTAACAATCTCGGAATTCTAGTTAACAAGCTGTAAAGTTTATTTAAACAAACATTATAGTTAAGTTTATTTTAACATCCTAAAACTTGTCTCGAGACCTACTTATGATTGTTGTAGATTACTAAGGCCAAGGGTCAAACACGTCTTTTTGCAAATACAGTAAAGTCCGCTTATAATGAACCTGGTTATAGTGAACTTTCGGTTAAAACAAACTTTTTTCCTTTAATTGAAACGTCGTCCATAAAGACCAACGCATTATTTTACTGGTTATAAGGAACTTCCGGATATAACGATCACTTTTTAGGTTAGTTGTATATTCACTTTCCGTTTATAACGAACTTCCACGCTCAGCAACACCAATCGTGCGGAGTTGTTTATATTAGTGACAGGCAGTGACTTGTTGTTTTTTGCCGCGTTATGTATGTAAATCATTTTAGAATGGAAAAACAAAAACGCAAAGCTTTTTCACTAAATGAAAAGTACGAGATTATTAACAAATTTAAAAGTGGAGTAAAGCAGAGTGGCATTTGTAAGGAATTAGCACTTGGGAAGTCTACTGTTGCAACAATATGGAAAAACAGAGAAAACATTTTATCAGCGCATGACAAAACAAATGTTAGATGTAGGAAGTTAAAATTATCTGCACATGAAAAGGTTAACAAGGGACTTATTAAGTGGTTTACTCAAAAAAGACAAGAAAACGTTCCCATAAGTGGCAGTGTTTTGCAAGAAAATGCT